GTACCAACTGATGTTTAGTTCCTAATTAGATATTTGCTTGTTTTTAATATTTGTCTTTAAAACTAGAAGAAAAGGTTATAAATTGAATGATTATGCTCCTTCCTGCTCTTTTCTCTTTATTTTCTTTTCTCATCCACCTTCATGCTAGATATATATCTATTTTCATACACACAAACAAGGCAATCAGCAGAAATGCTTAATTTATTTTCCCTTCATTGTGATCTTCTCTATTTTTTTAGCTGGTGAAATAGTAATCACCACTACCATTACATGACTGCCACCACCATTTTATTGTAATGGGTGGGGGACGTGGAATGCATTAAGTAATAAGATTATAAATCTGGAAGTACAAAACTATTTTTTAAAATTTGTAACATTCATCATTTCCCCCTTTTTGTCAGGATGGAATATTTGTATTGATGTTCTTTTGTACAGTATTCAAGACATATATGATATATTAAACACGTACCCTTCTTTATGGTAGTTTTAAGATGGAACAAGGGGATGCAGTCTTTTTTTAAATATAGGCAAATGTTTATCTAAGTGTAATAACAGACATGCAACAGGTTTTACAAAATAATAATAATAATAATAATAATAATAATAATAATAATAATAATAATAATACGACGATACCTTTAACACCATCAGCCAAACAACATCTGCCTATTCCAGGCCCTTGGGGAGGACTCGATAGGTGGATAAAAATGCCAAAACCCAGTCTAAACATCTGGCTGACTGTGCGACCAATAATAATATATTTAACTTCTATGCTGCCCAACAACAATCAAAGAAATTACAATAAAATAATAAAAGATAAAAAATAAATATAAAAGATGGCAAGCGCAATGAAGTATGGGATTAGATTTTCTAAGTTGGTCACTGAAGAAATATCAGATTAGGATAATTTTTAATACAGGTAGTCCTCGGCTTATGTACATTCCTTCCGCAACTATTCAAAGTTATGGTGGTACTGAAAAAATGGACGTACGACTGGTCCTGAAGGTTCCAGCCATTGCAGTAGCCCCGCAGTCACATGATCGTGATCTGTGCGCTCAGGTGCCCAGCTCATGATTACGATGTCACAGGGAGCCATGGTCACATGATCACCATTTGCGACCTTCCCTGCCAGCTTCCCACAAACAAAGTCAAAGGGGAAGCCAGCAGGGAAGATTGCAAATTGCTATGGTAAGTCATTCCTGCTTTTACTCCTGCCCTCATTATCCCCCACCCACAGCCTCTGCTGGCCCTCCCCTGATCTGATAACCAGAGGACTACCTGCACTTCTTGGTATTGCTGCATTCACTCTCCAGAGTAAATGCATACAGGTAGTCCTCGGTTAATGACGGTAATTGGGACTGGATTTTCCATCACTAAGCAATGTGGTCATAAAGTGTGATATCACATGACCACATCATTTAGTGACAGCAATCCTGGCACTCCCCACTGCCATCATTAACCGAATCCCACCCAGTTGTTAGGTGAGGACCCACCCCAATCCAAGCCATTCCTGGCTTGGTTCCCCCCAGCCCTGATAAGGGACTGCCTCCTTTTTAATTTCCTCCACCCCCCTATCTCCCCCATTTCTGTCCTTTTGGTAGCCCTGCATTCTGCAGCCTTGGGTTCCGCCAGCCCTGCTGCTCTGGACTCCACTTGCCCTGCTGCCCCCAGCTGACTTTCGCCACCTTCTCCCTCCCACTGCTGATGAGGCATGCCCAGCCTGGCCCTGCTGCCCTTGTCCAAATTGCACACAGCCTTGTCCAAATAGCGTGGAGCCTTCTCGCAAGGTTTTGGAAGGCTTCAAAGCCTTGCAAGAAGGTCACACGTCATTTGGACAAGGCCGCACATGGCCTCAGGAAGAAGGCCTGGCGTGGCCAGCAGCTACCTTGTGAAGGCCAGGCCAGGCATGCCTCGTCAACAGTGGGAGGGAGAAGACGGAAAATGTCAGCTGGGGGTGGCAGGGCTGGCAAGGTGAGTGGAGCCCAGTGCGGCAGGGCTAGTGGAGCACAGGGCAGCAGAGGAAGTGGAGGGCAGGGCAGCCAGAAGGGCAGAGATGGGGGGGAGATAGGCAGGTGGAGGGAACTGAAGCACCCCTGCAGTCCTGTGGCTGGGCTGCCAAGCACCCAAATTTTGATCATGTGACCGTAAGAGTGCTGTAATGGCCATAATAAGTCCGGCAGGCCCCCACCCTACTAGCCTTCTAGAAAGCACTTAAGACCTGGCTTCTTCCCCAAGAGCAGGGATAGAGTGAGCTTGATGAGAGGACTTAGTGATGGACTATATGTGAAAGTTTAACTTGATGCCAGGTTTTTAATGTTCATGGTTTTAATATATGTATATTGATATTGGTTGGAAGCCGTCCAGAGTTCGATATAAGAGGGGTGGTGATACAAATGTTTTAAATAAAATAAATAAACAAACTTCAGGGATTGGGTGTAATGACCATTCGTTCAGCCCTGCCATAACTTTGAACAGTTGCTAAACGAATGGTTGTTAAGTGAGGATTCCTGAAATTGCTTTGAACATCTGTCAAATGGATCCAGTCAGTGGATTATTAGAACTATGGTTGGAGAGTTCTGAATCAAATCCCTCTAAACCTAACCCAAGTTATATTCTAAGTTTTGAAATAGCACGTGAATTCAATCCAATAGACTTTTGGTGTTCCAATAATCCTACACACTATAAATACGCTTTCTTTTCTTCTACAGAGAAAATATATTTTCCCTGGTGTTTCATTTTTTAGTATCTAAAATTTTTAAAATGTGACACAGATGCTAAAGTTAAAGCATGCTATTATTTCAAACTGTGTACCAATGAAACAGATAGTTTTATTTGATAGTTATTTAAAATATGAATAGATTCTGATTTAATCTGTTAAACAATAAATATTTTATTAAGCTGATGAAACAGGAGATAGTACATTTTTTTATATTAACAGGGAATTGATTACATTACTGTCTTTGGTAAGAAACAGCAAAACATTTATTCAATAGCATATTATTATATATGCTTCTTAAAAAAGAAGTAACGGTTATTTAAAGTTAAATCTCTGGAAGAGAAAATTAAAGTATTGGCAATCCTTTAGGTATGCTATTTATCTCCTGAGGGATACAGATCTTTAATTTCTGCTAATTATACCTCAGCAAACTCAATTCCTCTGAAATAGAATTTTTATTGCATTTTAGCAGGCAACAATATTTGGAAAAGGAAGAGAATTTCAGTAAGCTATTGGCTTTTAGACAATTAAGCCACGTAGTTCTGTTCTTGATGCACTTTTGGGAAATATAAACAGGCACTAGATCAACTATTTTTAAGAAATGTATTCTAAATTATGTAGTTACAAATTCTTAACAACAGATGATGAGAAAGACATTTTCTATAACATCTGAGATGCTCTGTCTCAAGAACTGCGTTTATAATTAATATTATGAAATTGCTCGGTTTATCTTTTTCAAATAGAGTCCTATACTTTATCTTCAATTTTTTGAATTAATATTTTTCCTGATTAATGTGAATGTTACAATTTTAACAGTGACCTTACTTGTTGGTTACAGCTTATTTTCCTGACAATTCTTCATAGGCTGGATTTATGAAGTCATCAAGCTTCTGATAATATTAGATTCTTAATCGAATAAGCTACTTTAACTCCAAATAGTCAAAATCTAGCAGTCATTTCATTGGATATTGAGAAGCTTTTGATGGAAGACAAAAATGTCAAATATCCTTATTCAAATTATGTCATTTACATAAACTTGAATTAAACAGACACTGGAGTTTAATGGACCCCTTTCACCCAGTTAAATCAAGGTAGAACTGCACAACATTTAAGTTTAAATCTACACTTTAGGACTAAATCTGTATTGTTGTTAAATCTGTGGCAATGGATGCCTGAAACATGTTCTATTTAAATTACTCTTTTTTGGACAAAAAAGCAATTCAGTCAATTTTTTTGAACCTGTTTTCTTTATGATACAATTTACCATGCCCTTTTCTTCTTTTAATTTTAAGTTATTGTTTTATGTATGAAGTTACTAAAATGCACCTGAAGCTTCAAACATTTGGAAACATCCAAGTTATAGTTAAAAAACTAGGACACAGCTCAATTGTAGTTGCACATAATGAGTAATATGAAACTATGGCTGTTTAGAAACAGCTTACCTTACCGGTTTGAGGGTAGAAAATTACAATACCAAAACTATCATAGACATTTCATGTGGGGCTACCCATGTGTGTATTCCAAAGACTGTAGCTGCTACAGAATGCTGTGATTAGGCTTCCGGGTGGGTGTCTGATGATAAATATATTATACCACTTGTGAAGCAACTGTAATGGCTGCCTATCAGTTACATGTACACCATTTTGAGATCATCTGATGTAGGAAACTGTACAGAAATATTTCATATACCTATAAATTGTAGGACTGTGCAGAACCTTCAAAAGGAGATATGCTCCTCTTTGGAAAGATTTGTACAGTCCTACTAAACCAAATACTTTAATTCTAGTTAATAGGGTTCAATGGGACATCAGAATATTACTCAGATACTGAATTATGGTATTATATTTAAAAATAGAGTTTTCTGAAAGCTGGATTTTACAGTATGTTAGGATCCTTAATGTATTTAATGTAAGCAAATGATTATGTGCATTATTTGTGTCATTCTGCTGAGAGAACAAAGCCTTCCAGAGGAATGGGCTCATTTTATATCCACTCCTCCATCTCCCAAATCTTGTTCAGCATCATGGGGACTCTCTGGAATAAATTCTGGAGTACAGACAGGGAAGACAGTGGGAAGAAATTCAAGGAAAGTCCTGTTGCATAAGTAGCATCCCATTATATAATGTTGAATACAGTCCTATAGGTTTTGAATGCTGAGTAATTTCTCTGAAATACAACTTAAAGGTAGCTGTTACAAAACTGCCATAACACAACCCTGATGTTGCATCTGGCTTTAACATACAATATACCAAATGCAATCTTTTGTAATGCTATTTATACTTACATTCGGCTAGTTTCAATGTTTTCAGAGTGAGGTTCTCCTGGTGATCTGAAATGTTTAAATAAAAACTTAAGCAACTTGGCATGTAGGTAAGAAGAACGTGATATGGCTCTATATTATGTGATGTTAATGCTTCACTAATACCTAATAGTTTTTTCTAAATCAGTCCTATAGTTTTCAGAGAAAAGATGTTTACAAATAAGGATGCCTACAGCCGGGAGAAGCATAAATACAAGCTCTGATCTTATTGCTCACAACTAACCTCTTTAAATTTTGTTTTATAAGGCAAATAAAACTTCAGAAAAAGAATTAATGAAAACCTCTAAGTATGGAGATTAAATTTCAGAATATATCAATTTTCCCCTTTTCAATGATAAAGCTTCAGATCCATGAACATTAGTTGCTTATACAAACAATATTATGTCACTATTTGAGGCAAAGTTCAGCAGAACCCTTTATAAAAACAGTATTACAATTGAAGCAAGGAAAGTTGCTGCCTAGGAATACACAAAATGTTCTGAATGTGAGACAGCTGCTTCAAGTGCTAATCAAGGTGAAAACAGCCCATTTCACATTCAAGGTGTTTCACATTCAAAACATTTTGCTCATTGCTATTGTTATCTATTTTGGTTCCTCTTTTTGCACTAACCTTGTTTTTGGGGCCTAGAACTAGGAATGACATATTCTTTAGCAAGGAGAATCGTGTTAAAGAACTTTTTAAAAAATAATTGACAGCTCATTATGATGGATACACTTTTGCCTATGGTTTTATTCAATGGTAGATAGCTCCAGCTTGTAAAAACCACTGTATATCACATAGCGAAAACTGTTAATATCTACATAATGGAAACTAGGATCTATTTGGACAACTGTAGTAGAGGTTTTAAAAGTTTGTTAAATTTAACACTAAAAATGAGAAAGAAAAGTCATCCAGAAGCATTCTGAACAGAATAAAAAAAATGTTGAGATTTCTAAAATAATATGGTGATGTATGTGAGTAGTATATTTTTGGATAAAATGAGCTCCAAAATTCCAACAATTTGATTTGATGTTTAAAATTAATTTTTTAATAGTTGTAAAAACTGACCTTTCATTCTCATTGATCTGGTTAGTGTCTCCTAAATAACAATTTCGGTCCAGCTGTAAACAACAAACAATGGTTTGCCATAAACCCACGGCTCAATTTCAATGCTGAAGGGAAGAGGAAATGTAAAAACCTTTGATGTCCTTTCTAGATAGTTCACTTGGCATTAAATGTGACTTTGGGTCATGCTTGAATTGAGTCAGTGTATTAGCATACCAATATGATTTTATTGGACATTTCAAATTCTTTATACTTCAAAGCTGGGATGGATTGGATGGCCTATAAATTTAATAAACAAATACATCTTCCAAAATTAACATCCAGCTTTTTAAACAGCACCAGCAGATTCTTATTTAATTATATACCTTTCTGTCCTACAACTCAGGTTTGGAATGTATATGTACTCCATGATTTATTGGCCAGACTGTTCCTTTTCTCTTGCTTTAACACTTAGTCTGATGAAAAGTTCTGGAGAACTCAAAAGCTTAGCCGCTATTTTGTGTTATTTATGTTGGCCTAATAAAGGTATTGCTCTACGATGCACTTTTTAAAAAATATTATGTAACATTTTATCTTTATATCCCAAATGCTTCTTTAAAACCTTTGTTCACGGTACATCAAATATTCCCTTGATTCAAGGATGTATTTATTTTTGTGTTAGTCTGCAAGTACCAATCGAGATGAAAAATAATTTCTGTGTTACAAAACAAAATAGTGTCACTATTCCTTGATTTTAGCAAGTCTATCTTTTTAAATTTTCAGAAATGCAGCTAACCTAGTTTTTATTATTAAAAAGCTTATAAAAACTGTTTACATTAATGCTGATCAGTTTCAATGCAGGATACATATGTGGATTTGTATGGAAGCTTTTAAATCCTAAATATTTCATTATATTAAGTAATCTAGAAAGAACTGCAGAACTACCAAGTAATCCAATGTTCAGCATAAAACACTTGCAAACCTTTTTAGTTCTTATGTATTTAATATAATTTTATTACAAATGCTCTGAATTTTCAGCCCTGAATTATACTGCAGAAAATGTGATCACAACACACACCCACTAATCTGAACACTGCAGCATGAACTAGCAATTTCAAATGGTGGCTCACTTCCAAAAACCCTCGGAGCAACTTCTCCATTCTGCAAGCCACTCCTTTTACCTCCACTGTAACTCCCTAGGAAAGAAAAAGCAAAGGTATGCAAGTTTGCTGCATTTAGCAAGATTACCAAATTTCCTGAACAAAACAAAATTTTAAAGCAAACGATGAAATTTGTCTGTATGTTATTGTTATATGAAGATTTTTTTCTTTAAAAAAAAGTTCAAACAATTTTAGAGACAGTGGTGGGATCCACCTGCTATACAGTGGACCAAGAAGAGTATCTTCTAATGATAATTCTGGAATGATAATATTTTAAAGAATATTATCACAAGCATTCAAAATTATACAAAAAGGGATGGTCATCTCTAATTTACTTGCCTTGATAGTGTCCTCCTAAAGTTTAGTAATTAAACAGTTATGAAGGTAGTTGATGAAATATTTGTATTTAAAATATTTATTTTTATAAAAGTTTATGCTTTATATTGACATTTACCTTTTACAAGCTGTGGCCATTCGGTGACATTGGGGTGATCACAATATTGTGTCGTTGATTAAAAATACGTTCTCGCCAGTCCTCTTGTGCTGGGCCAAGCATATGCTTAATAGTGCTAAATAAATAAATGTATGCTAATTAGTTTATGAACTCTGTATCCATTTTTTTTGCCAATAGTTCAGTTTTTCAGAACTATTTTGACTTATAGAATCAACTCTGAAATTGTTCAAGAATGTTTGTCAGTTCAGGACAAGCCATTCCTGACAGAACCCATTTTTAAAACATGATTAATGCAAAGTGCATACACTTTGAGTATCTGTAAAATCTCATTCAGATCTGAAACCTGCTGCTGTCAGTATACAGGTATGTAACAGAGCCCTAGTCTTTGGTATGATCTAACAATGCCGTCTAAAGCATTTGATAAGATGACCCACATCATGAGGCCCAAACACATGGCAATCAGCTTCTGCTTCTCCAAAAAACCTCTCCCGCTTAATCCCATTTGTACAACAACACAACTGCTGAAACCAGTTTGCATCCAGTTTGCACCAAAGATTAACAAGGTAAGTTTAGTCATCAGCTGATTTCTGATTTTCTGGCTATAGATGAGCATTTATCTTGACTGTGCAAAGCAACAAAGCCTAAAGAGGCTGGTCTTCAATTATCCCTCACATCCTATAAAACAGAACAGTTCTCAGAAGAGGAGGGATTAAGAGAGCTTGCCTATCAACATTTGAATAGTAGGCTCAAATGACTTCACTCAATGCAAACTCTTTCCAATGAATTCTGGACACATGCTGAAACATACAAGCTTCTGCAAGGCAGTAATAAATAACTGGTTTAGCTAAGCTGACTGTACTGATTTCATGTAGAATTCACTGTTGCCTTCTCTTATTTTTTTATATTTCTTTTCCCAAGAAATTCCTCCTTATATGTAGAGAATTGGCCTTTTCTAATTAAAACCCTCCTTATGAAAAACAGTAATAGTTAAACAGCTATCCTTTGGGTTTCAGGATTGACATTTCATTAAGTTTTATATTTCTTGGCTTTGGATAGGAGGATCAAAAAGCATCTTACTTTTTATTTTGTTAGACTCGGGCTGAACTCTATTTTTTACTGGAGAAGCCTTGGAAGGGTTATGCTAGGATGGTTTAAATCATCCCTGTCCCATTTTTAGCTGGACAAACCATTATGCTTGCAGTTCTACAACAAAAGAAGATACTAGCACTCCGACTATCATGCAGGTTCAACATATTTGAGTTACTGTAATTTGCAATCTGAGATCACCTGCCTGCATTTGGAGACCTGTACTGGTTCCATTCATTCCATGATTTAGCAGCTGTTCTAAAGTTTAAACTGGTGCAAATAATGGAAACCTTTCATAGCGCAGATAATCAGGATGTATATTATATCCATGACAAAGTGACTGCCTTTGTCCTCAACAGGTAGTCTTCAGGTTATATTGGCAATTGGGACCAGGATTGCTGTTGCTAAGGGATGTGGTCTTAAAGTGCGATGTCACATGACTGCGTTGCTTAGTGATGGCAATCCCCAGCTATTGTAACCCCAGGACTGCAAGGGTCATTAAATGGGAAGAGGTGGGAGTCCCAGGCAAGGAGCACAGAGGTGGTAGTGGTGGGGTGCTGCGGGGGTGTGCAGCCCAGGCAGGTTGGTGAGGGCCACAGGTGGGTGCTGGGTAAGGACAGAAGGCTGGAGAAGGCTGTGGGCAGGCATTGGGGAGTGCGGGCAAACAGGATGTTGCGTGCATGCGTGTGCCATAGAGTGTGGGCAGATGGGGGGGTGCTACAGAGTATGAGATAGGGATCTGATACTCTCTAGTGGGGCTCCTCAGGAGAAAAAGTGGCTGGAGTGACTTGTGACCTTCCCTGCTGGCTTCCCCATTGACTTTGCTTGTAGGAAGCTGGCAGGGTAGGTTGCAAATAGCGACCATGTGACTGTGGGAAACTGCGACTGTCGTAACTGCAAGCTGGTTGCCAAGTGCCCAAATTGTGATCATGTGGATAATGACGACCACCTGTACTGGATAATTTGAAGATGTTAGTTATGACTGATATGGATATGATATGATATGATATGCAGGTAGTCCTCATTTAATGACCACTCGTTCAGCGACCATTCAAATGGTGCTGAATGAGAAGACTTACTCATAGTTGCGACAGTGTCCCCACGGTCATGTGATCGCAATTCCGGTGCTTGGCAGCCAGCTCGCTATTACGATGGTTACAGCATCCTGCAGTCACATGATTGCCATTTGTGACATTCATTGCTGGCTTCCGACAAGTAAAGTCAATGGAGAAGCTGGCGGGAAGTCACAAATGGCGAGCATGTGACATTGTGCCTAACGACCAAGTGGGACTTGTTTGATGGCAGCCAGAACTGTTGCAGCTGCTATCGTATCATGCAATCACGTGACATCACACTTTATGATGTTGTTTAGCAACGAAGTTGCTGGTCCCAACGACTGTTGTTAAGTGAGGACTACCTGTATATGCCAACTTAGGAGTGCAAAGGAGCAACAAGATTGTTTTGGTGCCTATAATGGAATATTTTTTGTTCTTAAGTGGGGACACTGTGACAGTCGCAACTATGAGGACCAGTAGTAAGTCTTCTCATTCAGCACCATTTGAATGGTCGCTGAACGAGTGGTCATTAATTATAAGTGAGTGAGAGAGTTTTCAGAAAACAATGGATTGCCTTTTATATGAGATGAATTCTGATGGGTAAAACCAGAGTGGCAGAACAGTCAAAATGTTTATTTGCAAAGGTTCTATTTTCAATATTTATCCTAAGTCCAACAGATAAATGAACTACAAATTACATGTATGTATTTGTAAATTTTGTATCATTATTTATTTGTAAATATTCCATCAGCCCCATTGGTATGATTAAGGATCACAGATGATAGAAGTTGTAGTCGGGCCTCAGAGGATTACCTGCCTCTGACCTAGACTCACAGTTTTTCTAATACATGAGACAGGACTCCAGACCCAATTAAGGGAGAGGCATGAATTTTCTATCCATTTTCAGGTTTGTCTTTCAAAGTATTGAATCAATTTAATGGCCACCCATCTCACAAATGTGACTCTGGTTGGCTAACAAGAATTAAATATTATGAGTGCACAAGCAGATAAAATGCTAACCACTAATCAGAACAACATTAATTGTCAATAGACTCCATCCCCACTGATACGAGGTGATCAGTGAACAATTCTCTTGGTTTTGAACCCCATTAGTTCCCAGGGTATTTTTTTAAAATTCGCTCAGTAGTGCACAATTCTCAGAGACTGCCTGGGCAAGTCCTTGCAGTTTTCTCAGCAAGGTTTTTCAGAAGTAGTTTGCCATTGCCTCCTTCCTAGGGCTGAGGGAGAGTGACTGGCCCAAAGTCACCCAGTTGGCTTTGTGCCTAGGTGGGGTTAGAACTCAGTCTCCTGGTTTCTAGCCTGATGCCTTAACCACTACACCAAACTGGCTCTCCCCAGGGGTTTGGACTGTTTAAAATGTTACACTTTAGGTATATACATAAAAAAAAAAATCTTAGGTGCATAATAAAAAAAAAGGTAAAACATGAATTCAATGACTGCACACCTGGTAATATGTAGTTCAATGCAACTTGCTGAGTGCTCATTCACAAGATGTGCAGCATTCTTTTTACCCTATGGTAAGGCTTGAGAGCCATTGTTTCATTCTGTTCTATTACTTACAAAAAGTATTAAAAGAAAACAATACAATTTAAAATGCTTGGACTCTTCTTATATATTTGCAGTAGATATTTCAGATTCAAAAGTTTACCTGTCAATTGTTTCCTGCAGTTTAGCTTCACTGATATCAAATGTAAGGCTGATCTTCTATTCTGTCATGTCACTATAAGCCAGTGATTATTCAGCAATACTCGTACCCACAGTACCCTGAGGCCTCCCATTGGCTTTTTGCTCTCCAAATGAAGACTTCCATTGCTGAAACAGAAACAGATGATGTCTTATACACTTCTATTACATTACCTTGTTGTTTTTAATATACAATTCTTAACTGGTAAAACATTTTGTAAATTAGAAATACTATAAGCTAGTTATCAAGGGGATTTGTCAAAAAGCAGAGATAAAAAAATGTAAACTATTGCCTGTACCAGGGTTCAGGCTATCAAACACCACACAGTTACAGAGTAAAACAGCCCAATAGTGACAAAATTGTAAAAACTGGAGGAAGGTAAGGTAATCTGCTCTTTAACAGCATTTTTAAAAATTTTCTTAAATCAAAAATTAAGTTGGCTCTAATCTCAATATTTTTTAAAGGAATTTACAAATTATGGCTGTGCAATAAAAGAGATGCTTTAAATACAGTAATACCTCGGTTCATGAATGCTTCACGAACAATTTGGTTCATGAACAGCACCGTTCGCAAAATTTTGCTTCCATCTGCGAACTCTGCATTGGGTGATGAACACGACCCGCGGCCATCTTCCCTGCTCTGACACGTGTTCGTGGCTTTCTGTAGGCGAGGGGGACTCTCCCTCCAAACAATAACCGCCTCCCCACCCGCCTTCCTGTCCTCCACGCCAGAAGTCGCCTCAAGCAAGGTTAGT